TCTTGGTGCAACCAAGTGTAGGAGTTTTGGGTTGAGCTTGAAGCCGTGTGGTGTCGTTTGGTTGTTTTCTGAGCCCGGAAATTGGTTGATTGGAGCCTCAAATTACAACACAAGAGACTTCTCAAAATAAGCAACTTTTTTTCCATTATAACTCTGAATAAAGGTATAATATCTAAACATAAAAAGTTATTTAAAAGTAACTTAATTATTTTCAAACTTATCCAAACATGCTTGTACTGGAAACGACATGTTCAACTAGCTGGGAAGTGCTACACCTTCCCCATAGCGAAAGAGAATTAAGCTCCAATTCTTAGCAGAATACACGGGCTACCGGTAACTGTAAGTTCTAAGAATCAACTTAAACCCGAGCATATCGAGAATAACTAATTCAAAAAGTTACTGAAGAGCGGCTTTCCGTTCTATGCTGACAAACATAAAAGCAATAGTTCTACTACAGAAGCTACATTGTCATTCACACAGCCCTCGACCTTATTTTCGACGAATTTTGGTCTTCAACAGAGACCATTTCTTCATCGAACATGCCGACCCCCCAACAACAACACAAAACTAGCAGCCTAACACAAAATTTAGAGAGAACAAATCAATGCGATCAATTAAAGGAATTCTTAAATTTGACGCTTTTCTTCCCTTAGTACCTATAAAGAGGAGGCTTGTAAGGACCCTCAATTGGTATGCTTAAGTAATCAGATTGGTCCTTAGAAAGCTTAGTGATCCTAGCACCAAGCTTTCCGAGGTGGAGAGCCGCAACTTTCTCGTCAAGGTGCTTGGGCAATACATAAACCTTCTTCTCATACTTTCCAGTGTCCTTCTCCTTCCACAGCTCAAGTTGGGCAATAACTTGATTTGTGAAAGAACACGACATAACGAAGCTAGGGTGCCCTGTGGCACAACCCAAGTTCATCAGACGACCCTCCGCCAAGATAATAACTCCACTTTGTGTGTCCGGGAATACCCATCTGTCCGTTTGAGGCTTGATGGTGATCCTCTTCACGCCAGGGAAAGTCTCAAGACCTTGCATGTCAATTTCATTGTCGAAGTGTCCTATGTTGCAAACAATCGCGTTATTCTTCATCTTTCTCATGTCTCCGACCATGATTATGTCCTTGTTACCAGTGGTGGTTACGAAGATATCAGCCTCAGAAACCACATCCTCGAGGGGAAGAACTTGGAGGCCTTCCATAATGGCCTGAAGAGCGCAGATTGGGTCGATCTCAGTCACTATCACACGTGCACTGGCTTTCTTCAAGGCAGAGGCACAGCCCTTGCCGACATCTCCATAACCACATACAACTGCGGTCTTTCCAGCAATCATAACATCAGTGGCCCTCATCAGTCCATCGGGGAGTGAGTGGCAACATCCATACAGGTTATCAAACTGGTTGAAGGAAGATTACACAGTACATTAGTAAATAAAATCTTAGTTAACAGTATTCAGCACGATCAAATATGATTTAATAAATTTGAAAGCAAGTCATACACGACATATAGGATATTCCAAGAACAAGCAACGATAGACTATCCAACAGATGCTCGATTTGAGGTTGCATTGTCCATATTCAATATTCGAACGAGTATTACAATTGTATACTTCAGAATAATTTCCAAAGAAAAAACAAACTACAAACAATGATTTGAAATCAATGACATTAATTGCCATTAAGCACCTCAAATTCTAAATACAAGTAATTCTTTAAAATCATTGACAATGTATGACTTATTTAACATATTTAAAACATTCAAAAGAAAATATATTGATGAGACGGATCTAATCCGAACCATCCATCAGACCTTCTCTTTTATACACACGCATATAACAATGAGCACGATTATTTCCATTTCAATAGCATAAAATAAAAATGGAAACCAAGTATGACCTAAAGTAACACATGAACTCTATATACTTTTTTCCCATAGATCAGTTGATGGATAGATGTTCATGTCGAGTCAAATATGCCATTACCCATGTAAGAATTACGAATTTCAAATCAGAAATGCTACTTTTCTTTATAGTGATATACTTGTCATTTTTTCATCAGTCAAAAAAAAAAAAAAAACAAAAAAAAGTTGTCAATCAAGTGCTGACAACGCAACACCTGTAAAGATTGTGCGAAAAAGAAGTCTGCACGCATGGCTTTTTTCATTTCGAATTCCTCTTCCAGCTTATTGTAGAATATGATGTTGTTATGGAATGGTATGATTAGACTTGGAGGATCTTTCCGTTGTTCAGAATTACAATAGCAAATCTAAAGGAGGTGCATGTACTATTGTTACCTTGCTCTTTGTGACTGAATCATTGACATTAATAGCAGGAAAAAGCAAAGTTCCATTAGCCTGCATCTGGTACAACCTCTTCACACCAGTAGTAGTCTCCTCAGATACACCAACAAGCCTTTGTTTCATCCTGGAATACTTCTTGGGATCAGTCTTAAGACCATCTCGGATTATCGTCAACACAATCTGGAACTCGGCATTATCAGTTGTCGCAGGGTCAGGTAATTTTCCGGTCTTCTCGTACTCCTCCTCAGCTTTAACACCTTCATGAATGAGTAGTGTAGCATCACCACCATCATCCACGATCAAATCAGGTCCACCATCAGGTCCCCAGTCGAGGGACCTCTCGGTGCACCACCAGTACTCCTGCAGTGTCTCGCCCTTCCACGCAAAAACTGCAGCGCTGTCCCTAGCAATGGCGGCCGCAGCGTGATCCTGAGTCGAAAAAATGTTGCACGAACACCATCGCACCTCTGCGCCTAGTGCCGTCAATGTCTCGATCAAGACCGCGGTTTGGATCGTCATGTGGAGACTGCCGGTGATTTTAGCGCCTTTGAAGGGCTGGGAGGAGCCGAATTCTGCTCGACAGGACATTAGGCCAGGCATTTCGACCTCAGCCAGGTCGATTTCGAGGCGTCCGAAATCAGCCTGGGACATGTCCTTGACCTTGTACTCGCGGCCAGATGACGTCTTCTCGACTAGAAGCGACATGGGTTCAGCGAGTATGAATCAGATTTTCAGTTTGTAGATCTGCGATTTGAGAAGTAAGATTGATTCAAGAAGTGAATGCGAACTGGGGGCATTAGGAAATGGAGGGGGGAGAGGGATATATATAGATTTCGAAATGTTAAATTTGACGGCGTAGATTCGGAGGATTTGGTGGATCTAGAAACATTTGAGGTCTAATTTATGGTGGAGAATAATTTCTTTATTTATGTTATAACTGATCCGACCTATTCCTTTACATTTGAAAGCATCTTAACAATAAAGAAATTGATTTACTTTCATTATAATAGGTTGGACTAAAATTCCAAATCGAGATAACAAATTTGTTTCATTCGTTAATCTTTCATAATAATAAAAAAAAAAAGAAATCTTACAATGAACAATTTGGCATTTGTATTTTTTGTTTATTAACATCCTTTTTAGCACATTAAAAGGTTAATAATGCATTTTAAATAGTAGATTGATGGAGGATACGTGGTTAAAAAATAATAATTTTTTTAAAATTTATGTGTAATATTATTTTATTGAAAAAAAAAAGAAAAAAAAATATATTTTGAAAAAAATAATGTGATCAAATAAGGGTTAAATATGAACAAGTAATTTCAAACAATCGCATCTTAAAAGATAAATGAATGTAAGAAATAAATTTGAAGAATTTAACTTTTCAATTTTCGTATGAATGTAAAAAAACACACAAATGAGTAAAGAGAAAAAAGGGGGGAAAACGTAAAAAACATATCAATCCAATAAGTAGTTGAGGGTTGAATCGGTCTAATATTGGTTATTTTTCATCATGATGATGAAATATCGGTGATATAATAACACATTATCCCTCATTATAAAAATTGAACTACTCAATTTCATTATTTCACGTAAACTGTCACATCACCGATTTTTCATCATTATGGAACATTGATAATGCTATTTATCATTATGATGATTAAACATCAATAATGTTATTTATCATTATGGTGATAGAATATTGATGATGTGACAATTTATATGGAATAATAAGATTGGACAATTCAATTTTTATGAAAGGGATGGGAAGGAGAGAGAAATACGAGTGATAATGATTTGCCGCATCACTGATGTTTCAATATTATGATGATAAATAGCATTGTTCTCTTTAGCAACATAGACAAATTCAAAGGATTGATATGTTATTCATGTTTGGTGTAATTTAAAAAGTTGATAAAAATTTAAATTGAAGTCTAAAAATTAATTAATTATACATTTCATGATCAACAATTTATCTCAATTTTTCAACTATACAATCACTTATATCACAATCTATTAAAAATTTGATTTTTAGCTATACGGCATTTTTTCTTTTTACTTATGAGGAAAAGTTATTATTTTAGGTGAAGATTAAAATCAGATTTTTTTTGTTAATTTTGATAGGAGTTGATGAAATATATGATTGAAAATTTACTTACATCCCAATTGAGGCAGTGCAAACTCGTATTGAGAGAAGCAAAATATCACTAGTTCAAAACAAAATGGTAAAACACAAAAAGAAACATGATATGGGACTACAATATGTAAGCTAAAGAAGTTGCCGAAAGCTTAGAATCCGTCATTCCCTCCACGCGCGCCAAAACCACCACCAAAACTGCCAGAATTGTTGAAGTTACTACTAGGTGCCCTCTCTTGAGCGACACTAACCCGGATATTCCTCCCATTCAATTGCAGCAGGGCAAAAGTGAAGAACCGAGAAATATAAGGCGATCAGAAGCAGCATATGGAAGAGTTGGAGATGCTATACATACAGCGGTATATTACATCCATATAATCCTGAAACTCGCCTGTCCATCCATGGCTGACACAGCTGAGCTAGCACATTCATCAGATGAGAAATTTACAAACCCAAATCCTCTCGACTTCCCTGTTTCTCTGTCCATGATAACTCTTGCTGTACAAGGAAAAATTATTAATTTTGAAGGTGCACGCATATCTACAAAGTTAGCATCTATAAGAAAACTAGTTTTTCAAACCAGCAACTACTATCCTAACGAGTGATTGTAACCAAGAGAAAATACGCAGCAATGCAAAATCAATATAGGCCAAAAATTCAAATATAAAGCAGTTTTACGGAATACCCTGACCCGTACCATTTAAGAAACAAGTAAGAACAAACTTGGTTAAGAACAACAAGTAAGAAAATATATGAAGGATCAAATCAAGAAACAAACTTAGTTAAGAACAGAATCCTACCTGAATAGAAGGAGGGTTTAAGGACAGAGAAAACAGAAGGAGCGGCCAGGGTTTATGATATTCCACCCTTTGCTAACAAGGTGGCAATATACTGTCACACAAACCAAAATGTATTTCACACTTTAATATTCTAAGCCATTGTTTAGGGTGTGTTTGAGCCACATTATTTTAGAAGAATGTATTTTAAAATAGTAGATTGATGAAAAATGCATGATTGAAAAATAAAAAAAAATTATTGATGTGATGGAAAATATTATTTTATTCAAGAATGTGTAGTTGAAAATGAATAGAAGAATGAAAATGAAAATTTTAATATAACTCGAACAGGGCTTAAACTAATATTTTAAAAGGGAAATGCTACAAGTACATTAGGGGTGCCA